AAGGTCGTCCGCTTTGGGAGGCTAGTAAGGGAGGATGACGTTGAGGACAGCTCCAGTGATAATGCCTCTGCATAGGCCAATTTTGTAATAGCCTAGTTTTATTTTTCCTTGCTTTAGTTTTCTGTTTTGGATTCAAGCAAGTGTTGAACTCTGGGAACTTTGCTTATATATGTATATTTTCTTTGTCTATTTGAGTTTGCTTTTGTTTTTTGCTATTCGTGCCTTTTGAGACATACGCTTTGATGTCTGTTGTATGTTTTTTGCATGTGGTAATACTTTTGCCTTGAGTTTGTCAAGTCGAGGTTCGAACTCGACTTCAGTTTTTTGCTACGTGAGTTTCTTTGTGAAGGTTCAAATTCGACCTTAAGTTATTAGCGTCGAGGTTCGAATTCGGCCTTAAATTGAAGTGGAGTGAATTGTGCTAAGGTTTGAATTCATCCTTGTATTTTTGTTGAGCAACATGTTTTGACCTCACGTTGGCTAAGTTGAGGTTCGAATTCGACCTCAGATTTTAGAGTAATATGTACTTCATCAAGGTTCGAACTCGACTTCGGATATGGGGTTCGTACTCGAACTCGGGATAGGGTTAAGTGAATTTTCTCAAGGTTTGAACTCGACCTCAGATAATAGTATTAAGATTCGTACTCGACCTCGGAATAGAGTTAAGTTGATTTTCTCAAGGTTTGAACTCGACCTCGGATAATAGTATTAAGGTTCGTATTCGACCTCAGAATAGAGTTAAGTGAATTTTCTCAAGGTTCGAACTCGACCTCAGAATAGAGTTAAGTGAATTTCTAACCTTTATTTCTGCACCTGAAACTGAGTGAGATGTTCACCACTCTCTTGTTATTCTTGTATATGTTTAAATTATGTTGCAGGTGATCATCATCATGAAGATGTTGGTGATGAGGCTTAAGGCTTCAGTTGGGCATGCTCTGATAGGATGTGACATCGGGCATAACTAGGCTTAGTTTGGGATATTATTGTTTTAAAAGCCTTTTCTTTTCTTTTGTAATTTTGAACGTTCTTGATAAAAGACCAAATGTACATCTTTGTCATATTATTTTTATTACATGATTTGAAAGTTATAAATTAATTCCTAACTAGGAGGCACTGCCACCTTAGCAGGAATTAATCTATATTTTCTTTTGTATGATTTCTTGAGTTTTGTTACATGTTGACTCTTTATGATTTATGAGTTACGAATGTGAATCTTCTACCTTATGATATTTGAGACAATTATTTTATCCATCAAAGATGTTGTCAATTATGAAAGATTTTATTTACTCAAAATTAAGAAAAAAAATTATTGTTTACATTTATTGTGTATTAATGTTGGGGTAGAGGGTGTCACAGTTAGCTTCCATTTATATACTTTTTAATTATCTTATTTCTAGTTGATGTGGGACTTAAGTTTTTCACAATAAATAATTGTCGTATCGAACCATGATTCTCCTTGTACTCAGAGGGGTTCCGAAGGTGGTTAGCAGATCTATGTATCCCCGGGTGTGCACTCGTTCTCCTGCAAAACCGACAAGGGGCTCGGTATGGGGTTGGATGAGAGAGTGGGGGACGTCCAACTTGAGAAACGTTGGTCAATATAAGACGTCGGCCGAACTTCCTTGGTCTATAAGCGTCTTCTGGACCTCCTAATTGGTTATTTCTACGACGATGACCATGGGGTCATCCTGGTTAGGGCTAACACCGACATAGTCTTTGTCAGAGAAAGAGATCGAAGATGAGCTCTGATGCGAGGCCGAGGTGGTAGAGTGGACACAGTTGATATTCCGCAGGTGTCATATTCGGGCAGAACTGCTGGCGCCTCCCCCAACGAAACCTCCTACGATTGTGTTGATTACCCCCCGTAAGGGAGTCGATCTTGTCTCCTGGCTTATTTCGGCTTGTACTGCTCCGCCAGCATTTTGTTGGGAGCCCGAGGGTTGGTCCGTGCGAGCTCTCGAACCGCGACCTCTGCCTCGAACCCGGCCGCCATAGCCTCCTCGATGACCCTGCTGTCATTGGACGTATTGGTCGAGGTGGCTGGCTTGAATGAGTTCTTCAATAAGGTCTCGGAGCGTGTGGCACTCCTCGGTGGTGTGGCCATGATTCTTGTGGTACCGATAGTGTTTGGATTTGTCGGCACTGTTGAGGGTATGACCTGGCGGTGGCAAGGTGAGCAAGTTGTTGCTGGCTTCCTCTAGGATGTGTACCCGAGGTGTGTTCAGGGGAGTATAGAAGTCGTATCTTCCCCCTTTGTTTGCTCTGGTTGATTTCTTGAACTGACTGTCATTGTTGACTTTAACCTTATCCCTGTGACCCTGCTCTATCTTTACTGGTCCTTTTTCACGAACTTGGTCACGGAAAGCGGAGTGTTCCTCCATCTGGATGTAGCCTGTAGCGCGAGCCCGGAGCTCGTCCATGTCGTGGGGAGATTCACGGCATAGGCTGTCGACGAACGGCCCAGGCTTGAGTGCCATGAGCATGGCATGCAAGGCGACCTCAGGATTCAGGTTCTTGATCTTGATAGAGGTGGCGACGAATCGTTCCATGAACGCCCGAAGTGGTTCTTCGTCGTTCTGCCTGAGACTGGCCAGGGCGGCTGAAGTGACATGATGAGGTCGGCTCGTTGCATATTGTGCTGTGAACCTTCTGACTAGGGTGTGGAAACTGTCAATGGACTCGGCAGGCAGTTGGGTGTACCAGTTGAGCGCGGCCCCTTTGAGCGAGGTCGGAAAAACTCTACACAGAATAGCGTCATTGTTAGTTTAGAGGTTTACCTGTGTTGTGTATAGGTCGATGTGCTCGTCCGGGTCCGTCGTGCCATCGTAGCGATCAAGGTGGAGAGGCTTCCACCCATGGGGGAGTGGTGTCTCCATGATGCCATCCACAAAAGGGTGGCGGCGAAAGGTTGCCTGTTCTCCTGCAACGTGAGTAGGAGCCTTGTTGACTTCATGGGCCGATTTATGCGTCGGCGCATGAGACCGATGTGTAGCAGGCCGCTGAGTCGGTGCTCTAGTCGCGGTTCGGGGTTGAGAAACTGAGTGCTCCTCTTCCTCATTGTGGTTGTTCGTATGAGAGGGGTGATCGGAGTGTCCCCGCGGAGTTGAGGGCGAATCCTCTTGTTTTCCGCGCGCAGAGCTGCTAGGTCAACCTCGTTAGCGGTCCGCATTGCGGCTAGGTCGGTTTCGTGCTTGGCACGCATGTTCTGCAGATCGGCGTCGTGTTGTTGCCGCATTTATTCGACCTGATCAATCAGCCTCCTCAATGCTGCTTCGTTATCCATGGTAGGGGGATGATCTGGGTCGTCTGTTGCGCGTTGGCTATGGCTCCTGGTGCAAACCATAAGCATGGCCGATAAGAGCTGTCTCGATCGGCCCCATAGTGGGCGCCAAATGTTCTTACCAGAAATTTGCCGTAGAGGTGATCTCCCTCGTTATCCATGGTAGGGGGATGATCTGGGTCGTCTGTTGCGCGTTGGCTATGGCTCCTGGTGCAAACCATAAGCATGGCCGATAAGAGCTGTCTCGATCGGCCCCATAGTGGGCGCCAAATGTTCTTACCAGAAATTTGCCGTAGAGGGTAAGGTCGATGAGCCTCCTTCACTGGTACGCTTGTTGCTCCAAGATGGGGGTGGTACCTGCAAAAGAGACTCCGATGCTAAAGTTAGGGTTTGTATGAGTATGAATCTTATATAAATAATGCACGTACCTTAGTGTGAATTAGGGTTGCTTTGGACTCTGGGTCTGAGATAAGATATGATAAGGTTAGGTAACGGATCTCGCCTGGAGCGAGATTCCCTAAGATCGGTTATGATCTAATTAAATGCCGAGCTGACATCGCGTGGCATGTGCCCGGGGTCATCTTGTGCTGTGATGCCGAGCTCGGAGCTCGGTTTCGTCGTACGGATAGTACAAATTCATTGTGAGCATTTGAAAGTTAAAATACTATTGATAGAATTTATAGTAATTTCTTTAATTTTTTCGTAAAAAATATTCCCGCAAAATTTCTTGTGAAAAAATTCGCAGGAAACTTTCTTGCGAATTTTCCCGCGAATTTTTTTTTTGTAGAAAACTTTCTTGCAAAAATTTTTTGCAAGAAAATTTTCTGCGAATTTTAAAATTCGCAAAGGCCCAAGTTGAGCTTCTCATGGGCCATATTTGGTTTTAGCTATTTTCCTTATATCTTGTATATATCATGTTAGTATAGGTTTCCTATATTTTGGGTCTTGTATTATGGACCATCTAGGATAGTATTTTAGGCTATAGGCTTATTGGGCCTAGTAACAAAAATTATATTATGATTTAATATACTATTTAGTATCAAATATCAAATATTTTTAGTAAATCCAATGAATCCATAATTTTTATTCAAGTATTTATCTAATATTAGAATCAAGAGAGATGATCTCTTTATTGTTACCCTAATAACTTCAAACACTTCATTAATAATCCTTAATTTTTCTCCTTTTCGTTGAAATCTTGTATAAACCAATAATAAGATCATAATAATAATAATAATGTGTATAAGTTGAAAGTAGTCATCATCTTATTATAAGATCATATTTAGACTCTTATAATTCATTTCTTAATATATTATCAAAGTTTATATTCTAATAATTACTAATTGTTATTAGACCTATCATTCTACTCAAGATCAGACAGTTATCGAATCACTTATAAATATTTAGTCATGTAAATTACTCTCTTAATATACTCTTAATATATGGATGTTTCATATCAACTTATAATAAAATTATAATAATATATGTAAGTGAGAAATATTTTTCTTACACCTTGATATTATAAAATTGAAATAAGTTGTTAATCCTCTTCTCAATCCAACATATCACATTCAGTTTTCACTTTTCTCTTTTTCTCCTCTCTTGATATTTGGTATTCACCATTTATTTTCCAACTATCTCTGAGGGTGTCATTGCTTGCATTCTCAATCATCACCACCAGTTGGTCCTCTCTCCCATCCTCCCTCCATATCCCTCCATCATGGCCTCAGACATTGCCGAAATGCTTAAACAAAACTTCTTGGAATGTGTCCGAGATAGTGAGCTTAACCTAGCATCTACTATCACTCCCCTATTGACTGACATCGCAAACGAATTCACAAATAACAAGGTATTCTGGTCACCTCCCCCGGTTAAATCCCTCTCTTACTTGTACCAACTTGACCATACACTTGCCGAGTGTCGAGCAAACAAGAGAACCTTCTTGTTCTCTCGTCTCGATCCAGTGGAACGTTCCAATGAGAAGACATTGACCGACATCAAGCAAAAACTCATCGAGATGAGGGGGAATAGCACAGAGAATGCAAACTCAACCTCCATCTTATTCACTTCAAGCATGTACCCTACCAGAAAGGACGCACCAAACATCACCGTATTCGAAAAAGAAATCGAAAAGATTGTAACTTGGCTTGAATCCAATGATGGGTTTAAGGCCATTGGGGTTCATGGGATGTGTGGCACAGGAAAGACTACGCTTGTGAAAATGGTTCTGGATGATCCACGTGTCCGAAACAAGTACGAGGAGCCACTGTGGGTGTGTTTGTACGACTTGACTTCAAGTGATGAAATGGATATAAAGATTGTTAAGGAAATGTTGGCACAATTGGGTGATGACCCTGATTTATTGACGGAGCAGCCTGATCTATTGACGGAGGAGCCTGATCAATTGACAGCGGAGCCTAAAGATGATTGGCTTGTGGACAGACTCCATGAAAAACTCAAGGGTCGTACGTATTTGATTGTGTTGGATGGTGTGTGGCATTGTAACGAGTGGTTCAATAATTTATATGATAATAATACTGTGAGATTTTCCCAAGCTTTGCCCAAGGACGAGGGTGGTGCTGTCATTGTCACCAGCAGGCAAAAGGAGGTGACTACTAAGTTGGTGAATGGGGAGAAATTGATTCATCTCGAACCTTGGGATGATGAGAAAATGAAGGAATTTGTGAAGCGATGTTTGGAACAACAAGGTAAGAGTTCTTCGGAAATCACTCAGGAAAAGATTGATTCCATCGCTTATCATTGTCATGGTCTTCCTTTGGTTGCTGAATTCCTCTCAGGTTGGATAGAGAAGCAGATCCCCGACAAGTCTGGTTCTGATTGATATAAGGAAAATGCTAGCAAGTGAACTGAATAAGAAATAAAAATTAAAGATTTGTACTGAAAGTGTATTTACTTATTTCGTGTAATATTTATTAGTTTTCAATTTACATATCTTAACCGGTGTCTGGTTAACAAGACTTGTGTATATATATATGATGTGGTTGTTATGTTTTCAGCTTTGTGTTTAATAATAAAATAAGGATCAGTTTGCATGTCCTTTAAATAATCATTTGATATGTACCGGCATCATGACAGTGAAAATGGATGTAATATTTAAAAAATTAGGGAAGTCGTAGTCTTACAAAGCTAAACCACTTTGTTGGTTATTTTATTTTCCTATTCTGAAATGTTTCTCAATTAAAGGAATATAAAATAAAAATATAAAAAAAAACTTAATATTTCATGTAATTTTGTATGAATTTATTGACTAAGTGAATCTGTGAAGTGTATTCCTTTATGTCATGTTTTTCGTAACACTGAAGCCAAAATGATATATATTGAAGTCACGAAAAAGATCATCCACTAATTTTAACGTGTCAAGGAGTTCCTCTTCGTTCCTTTTCACTGTGCAAAACAAACCCTATGCTTTCTAGCTCTGACATCAAATTCTCCAGCCTTTCTCCTTCCTCTTAACCGTTGTCAAACGTCTTTGCAGTGACACTGCTTTCATGGGGTTCGTTATCGTCATTTGTATAAGTCTCATATTAATAAAATAACACTATAGTGGTGACGAGTTTTGTGCTTTTGTGAATAATTGAAGACAGGAAGAAAGATATTTTTATATACAAAAGATTTAGATGTATGGCATCTAATTAAATATACTCAAAAGCAAGGAATTGAAGGAATCAAATTATAAAAGTTTCACGTTATTCTTTATCCCTTAATTAGTTAACACTTCACTAATTATTCTTACTTTTTTTTTACATTTCAGGAAAATACAACAAGTGCTCTTACTGTATTGGTTAAAAAATTAAAATTAAATTTTTTTACTAAAAATGTATCTGCATATTCTTTTGTGTAACTTTATTTTAATTTTTATGAAAACTTTCTGCATATTAAAAAAGTAGAGAAAACAATTGATATTTATTTGTTGTTCAAGTTTAACAAATTTACACCTTTAAAAATATTTTACAAATATTACATTTTTTAACAATCCTACTATTATATGAGTATATATGTATAATTTTTAATAAGGTAAAAACAACTTAATATTTCACCATATATATTACTTTAAGTTTAATATTTAAATAAGTTATTTAAAGTGCAATGATTTTTATTATTAGATTATATCGACAATGTGCATATTATTAATGGGATAGTGTCACACAATCAAATAATTAAATCAGTGAAAGTTAACATTTATTAAAAAATATTAGAAGTGTACACACACGCATTAAAATTTTGTCTGTGTTGCACTTTATCTTGTAGTGCAACTTGGAGCAAAAATCAAAAAATGGCAAGAATGTTTGTCGGCAATTTGAATCCTTACTATGAGTAAAGAGTACTCTATATAGTTTGTGCCTTTAGAACTGGTTGAAATTATCAAAATGTTTAAATATATTTTTTATTTTTTAAATTTAAAATAATTTATTTTTAATCTCTTAAATTTAAAATTATTTTTTTAATTCTTATAATTTTTGAAAATTTTATTTTAGTTCTTATATTCAATATTTTAAAAATAAATTGTTAAATATTATTACATAAAATTTATTAATTAATATCTTATTAATAAAATATCACAATAAATTCAATTAATCATCTATAACTATTTTAATCTATTACTTTTAAATATATTATTAATAATTTAAAAGATTAAAACAAAATTTTTTAAAATTATAAAAAAATTAAAATATTTTTTAAATTTAAGAAATTAAAAATATATTTATGGTTTGTCTAAAACTTCGAAGAAAGACTCATGGATCGATATTTTTATTTTTCAGAAAACTTCTAATAGGTGACAACTGCATATTGTTGTAAATTTATGGAAAGAGACCCTTCATATTTGCTTCTACGGGGATCAACACAACTATGATATATACTAAACCCTGTGAATATATCAATTTCTCTTTTGTAATATAAAATTTTATATATAATATTAATGAGTAACTACAAGCAATAAAAAAATACTCTACTTTGTTTTTAACAGGAGATAGTATAGGTTTGGCAACAATTACTGCTAGGTAAGTCCATATTCAACAAAAGACAACATTCTTGAATATATATATTATTGAGATGCAAGTAAAGTTCCACATCATTCAAATAAGAGAATAAGTATGGATTTATATACACACTGTTGTCTCCATTGGTAGAAAGACATTTTTAGTGATGTCTAAAACCAAAATCGTGAGGGTAGAAGGTCCAAAGCGGACAATATCTCACTAACATGGAGACATGTCCGAGCTCAACAAGGGTAAATGTCTGGTATCAGAGGCCGACACTCTGATCAAGTGACCGACTCGACGAGTATTACTCATAATTTTCGTTGTAGGGGAGGGGAGGATGGACATGAGTTTATATACACACAGTTGTCTCCATTGGTAGAGAGACTTTTTGGGTGATATTCAAAGGTAAAACCGTGAGGGCTTTACATATATATCTGTGTAAACCATGATGCCCAAAGCAAACAATATCTTACCAATGTGGAGACATGTGTATATCTGTGTGATAACCCCCGTGCTCAACATATATATGTATATAAATAGAAAAGAAAATTGTAGAGAAAAAAACAAAATAAAACACCTTTCGTTGCATAAATAGCTCGCTGACCAACTAAAAGAAAATAAATAATGAAAAATTGCAAGCAAATAATAGGTTTAGATTTCATAGTATAGGCTTGAGAGAAGATATAGAAAGCCAAGAATTAATAATTTAGTTTGAAAACCCCCTTTATGAGTGATCTATTTTGCGCGCCTACTAACATATAAATATGTTTTTATTAGTACCTTTGTTTTAATTGAATTGTATAATTTGTAGTGCCTATTTAGAGTGTAAATGGAATAATTGAGTGGACTGATTAATTGTTAAAATTTCTCTTGGTATGAACAATTATAAACATCCTTTTAATAAATTGAAACGTATATAAATGGAAAAAATAGGATAAACGTAATTAAATTATATAGAAATAATTAAAGCACGGGGAAGAGAAAAAAGTAAATGAAAGAAAAATATAATAGATGAAAAGGACAGAAATTTAAGGAAAAGAATGACCGAAGAGTGAAATTTGCTCACGGATGTTTTTTGTCTTGTATAATCTTTACAGCTTCGTTAATTTATGCTCCAAAAGGATGCTTTTGATTGTCACATAGTTATGTGATGAAATGTTACTCCTTTGTATTTCAGAAAAATAAAATGTTAGTCTTTGTAATTCTATTTCTTTATGTATCTCACATTTATATCTCTATGCATGTTACATAATCTAAAGGAATTTTTTTAATATTGTATATATCCATTTAAAATAAATAAAAGAGATTAAGGTATCTTTTAAGCAAGGATTTGAATAAATGAAATTAACTCAAAAATAATTTGACACTTATTTAAAATTATAAGTTCATCGAACTTGATTTATAAATTTATTGAGTTGAATTTACATTAAAAATTAAGCTCATCAAGTAAATGAGACAAACTTGAAATACATATAACTAAACTCATTTAATTTATAAATTAGTTTGATATATAAATATATAATTTTTATAATTGACTTTCTATTTAATTTGAACTTATTAAAATTTGAAAGAATCTTCAAAATTTAACTATAAGTTAAAAATAATAATTATATAAAAAAAAGTAGACAATTTAGAATTTCATGGTTATGAATTGAATTTTCTATTATTTTAAATGAAATAATTTTTTATTTATGTATACCTTTGCATGTAGTTGTGTTTTTTTGGAATCATATCTTATAACTTTATAAAAATAATATGATAAATTACGTTTTGTCTTTTAAAAAAAATTAAACAATCATTTCATCTAAAATCTATAAATAAATTTAAATTTGAAATATATATATATAACTTTCAAAAAATTTGACTCTTAAATCATTTGATTCAAACTAATGACTTGAATCAAGCTTTTTATGATATTGAATCTAGTCGAATTCAAGCAAAAATAAATGTTCATACCAAACTTGAGTTGAACTTCAAGTTAAGAAAAATATGATCAAGCCGAGTTAAATTAAATCAAACTTGACTCATTATCAATTTATCATTCATATTTTTAATTATATAATAAGGCATTTTTTAAGAGGATATATGGACTTCACTTATACCCTTAATTACTTAAAAAAAAAAAAAAGAGGTTGAGTTGATAGTGAGATTCATTTCAATTAAGTTAAGTTTATAATTAGATTTACTCATAATTAATATATTGTATTTATATGTAATTTTCACCTATACTAATTTCTATCTATCTAAGGCTAGTTCAATGGATTTCTTTAAGCACTCTATCTATATCTATTTCTCATGGTCAATATCTTTGTTTGAAGACAAATAAAGATTTATTTATTTGATGTGTCACATTTTAGTTGTATTTTATTATCCTTTCATGCACATTTTTTTTAGGATATTTAACAATATTGGCTTAGAAAATTAAGTAGTTCTACATTTCTAGTATACATATTTCACTAATTTACGTTATTTTCTTTTATAGGGAAACGGAGCTAATTAATTGAGATTGATTGAATGGAAGAAATAGGAAATTAAAGATGCGGAGTTGAATATTGCTCAACATTAACTAACGGGGCATTAAGAAGATATTTTTTTATTCATCGAAAATAAAAAAGAGAAGATACTTATGATACTTTTATATTTAGACTACAATTAGGAACAATTTTTAATTATGTGGTGTATTTTCGGCTTTAGTAAAGGTCCCTTTTAGCATTATAGTATTAGGCCTAGTTTCTAATCCTAATAATAATTAATAAAAAAAACCAATAAAAAGGATTTGGAAACATTTAGGAAGAACGCCTGCCATTCTTGTGGTTTATTATAAATGCTAGGTTAGAAT